ATGCCCACAGCTAGGAGAGATAAGGCACACCTTCCTCAAAACACTTGACTGCCACCTACTGGAGGTGTGTCATAATGGCTCCACAAAGCTCTGCCACTGAAAGGCAAAGGCACATGGTGGAGTCAGGTGCTGCTCACACAGCTGTGGGCATGGCCCTGCCTGTTGCAGGGGTCTTGCCATCATGTCTTTACTTAAACACTGTCTCTCCAGCCAGATAGAAGGAATCTTGAACATAAGGACTGCTGCTTCCTCTCTGTGTCCCCAGTGCCCTGGCTTCCACCGGGGGCTAGAGAAATGCTTGTCGAATAATCCTGGTGCAAACCTCTAGGCCAAGCATGTCAAACTCAAAGGCTAACATGGACCAAATAAACGAGTCATGTGACCCGAAGCCCTTGAATTTGACATGCTTGCTCTAGGGCTCAAGGCACCTAGTCTCACTGGGTGAATGTTCTCTAAATCTCTCTGTGGCAAAGGCAACCAAACTCCCCACAGGCTGTCAGAGTAAGCAGGGTCCGGGGGACTTGCAGAGGGGACAGGGCCCCTTCAGCTCAAACGCCACCACCATCTGAACAGACCTGAGCAAGTCCATGTTCATCCCCTCAGTAACCCTGGGGTCTGGGATGCTGTGGGGAAGAAGGTTAATTAGCACATAGCTACCAGGCAAGGTAATCAAAGATGTTGATTAACTCTCGCCCATTTTTCCCTAAGCTGTGTCCATTTATTGCTCCAGTGACATCCTGGGGCTTCACAAAGTGGTCTTAACAGAACTCTATTCAGCGAGAGGGCGGGATAGGCTTTCCCTGGGGTCCCATTTTTAAAGGGGGAAGACCTGTGTTCTTTCTCGAAGCATGTTTCCCCAGAGCCATTCTGCACAGCATTGCTCAGGTCCCATGGAGACCCTCCCTGCAGATACGCCTCCTGGCTCATCCTGTTCCAGTGGACTAGCTGATACACGCCCCAACCTGGCGGAAGACCCAGGGGTCCCTTTCTGTCCTCTTTGCCAGGAAGCCCAGAGACAGCTTATGTGCTCGGTTTCTGGACCAGGATTGCTCCCTCTTAGCATTTCCCCTCATTCTGTCCCCAGGAGTGCTTGGTTGGGGGTCTCGTCGTTACATTGCAGGGGTGGTTTTGGAGGCAGCACTAGCAGCAGGGTGGTGGTTAGAACCAAAGCCAGACACACCTCAGCTCAGTCCTCATTGGCCAGCTTGCCATCTGAAGATGACTTGGACCCTTCAATCTGTAGTCCCTTCCCTGGAATATTGGGTTAATAATCACAGTTAATGGGCAGGTTATCGTGAAGATGGAACTAGGCCAGCCGTGGGCAAACTACGGCCCGCGGGCCGGATCCGGCCCATTCGGCTGTTCTATCCGGCCCACGGAGCCGAAAGAGCGGAGGGTTCTCTTGCTCTCCCCTCCGCACCTTCACCAGCAGCAGTGTTAACATGTATTAGTTCACACAAACACTCCATCCATGCTTTTGTTCCGGCCCTCCGGTCCAGTTTAAGAACCCATTGTGGCCCTCGAGTCAAAAAGTTTGCCCACCCCTGCTCTAGGCAGTTCCCTTTGGCTGTTCCCCTTGGTTCCTCCCATGTCGGCTGGGTCTGTGGCTCCAGGATCTTGCTCTGTATTTCCTTCCTCCTGCCTGTGTCGGGCAGCTTAGGAAGAGTGATACAGCAATAAGAACCAGATGACCAACCATCCTGGTTCATCTGGGACAGAGGGGTTTCCTGGGATGCAGGACTTTTAGTGCTAAAATGGGGAGGTCCCAGGCAAAACAGAAGACTTGGTCACCCTAGTAATAGCCAACCTCAGCATCTCAATGGCTTAACAGTAGCAAAGCTGATTTCTTCCTCATGTTTTTGTCCATCCAGAACATGAGCTAGTCAGAAAACCACTGGTCTTGGCACAAAGAAACATGTGCCAAAGGTTCTGTTCCAAACTGGCGGCTGTCCTGTCCATCTTATCTTCAGTCAAGTCCAGTCACAAGGCCGGGCCTGATACCCAGGCGGCCTGCAGACACTCCCCACAGGGAGGGAAGCTGATAGTTAGAACCTTAATAGAGCCTGCAGGTGCCCTTTCTCTCCTTGCAGCATTCTGGGGTGCTGGGGAGCAGAGAGACCCCTGCTGTGGGACTGGTGGTCTTGCATATGGCCATCTTCCTGTATACAGTCTGTGTGGGTTTCTTAAGGGGCACTGGGCCTTGCCCACTCTGCTCAGAGGAGCATCTGTGTCTCCCTCTGGAGTGGTTGATACCCTCATCCTTCTCAGCTGCAGGCTTCTCTGCAGGAGCGCCTGAGCAGTGACCCCTCCTTCCAGCCTCCTGACTTCCTTGTGGAGCCTCTGAGAGTCTCCTCCCTGTGCTCTGAGGAGCTCAAGGTACTGCGGTGGGACTGAGGGTGCTGAGTTCCTCCCAGGCACGCTGCACAAGTCCCTTTGTGCCTCACTTGTTCTGGCTGGCCAGTGAGCCTCCCCCACCTCTGGATTCTCTAACTCAGAAGTGGGCGCACATGTGGCCCTGACTCCAGGGCAGGCTCTCCCCAAAGCATTCTTGCCATGTGCCACTTGGTTGGCAGCACCAGAGCTGGCCCTGCCCCTCTAGCAAGGGCCCCTCTCACAGTACCTCTGTCCTTGGGAGCCCCCTCCCTGGAGTCAAGACTCTTTTTAAAGTAGGTAGCACAGAAAGAGGGTGTGGTCTTTCTTTTGTTGTATCGTTTATTGTCTTACATCTAAGAATACTTTCTCAGAGAGAAGACAGTTTTCCAAAAATAATTGTTAAGTATCACCGCTGATTTAGTTTCCTTACTTTGTCCAAACATATAAGAAAGGCCAAAAGGCCTTTGTTTTGCAAAATATAGTGCCAAAATCCATGTTACCATTTGTTATTTCTATAAAGTAAATTTGAGTATTGGAAACATTTATCAGAATAAGAAATTTCACATGGCTTTTGGTACCTAGAACCTTCATTTAAGTTTCGGGGGTGGGGAGTGAGGGGTGGTACTGGGAGACACCTAACAACAGGGGTCCTCAAACTACGGCCTGCGGGCCA